GGTCGCACAGAAAATGTGTAGTTCTGTGTCGCTTTTCTTCACCCAAAGCAATCATGTGAGAGCAGCTCTCGAGTTTTTCGTTCTCCGCATCTCCAGTTCACTTTTATTTCTTTGTAAACTAACTGAAAAATTTACCAAATACGCTGGTCCGCCGTCCATTTCCCCTACTCCTTTTACTGATCCTCACAGTTATTCCAGGATGACAGCATAAGTGACAGACATTCCAAGTAGGCAATTTAAATCATCATTTTTTTCGGCCCTTTGATTCCAGGCCAATGTTGCTTAAGGATTCTCTAATTTACTTTCTTCTACCCAGGAGTACGCAAAACAATCGAACATTTATTGCATTTGTTTGCAATAATTTAAAAGTGTGAGGTAATAAAATTATATGAAACGTTTTAACTTTTGTATGCTGGAATACTTAATTGTTACTCATTTCTATGTTTCAAGAACTGACATCGTTTACTACAATGGACAATAGAATAATGTTATCCAATACAACTACTTTACAGACAGTGTAGATCGCCAGTATATTGGCTTCTTCCATGAATATATTACTGCTTGTCAGGCCTGGACGTCATACCTTTGATAAAATTATTATATATTCGCACAGAAGATCGTCTTCTAATAGAATTTGCTAACCTTCCAAATAACCACTTATTCAGTAAAAGAGAATAAACGTGAGTTTAAGTCTATTATTTTTAAGCTCGTTGAAGTACTGCCACAGAGAATAAGCCAATATAAGACCACAATTATTCAGGGATCGTGAGAAGGACTAATCCAGCTGATGCGTTAACTATCGTTCATAACTGGTTCAGCCACCAAATCTGGTAGACAGCATAAGTTCGGTTTGAGTTAAGCGACTTCAAATGCTTAAACAATCGAGCTGTTTTGGATAAATAAAACGCACTTATAGCCTTAGTTCTTAAAAGTGATATATGATTCAAAATTTGTGGCTCTATCTGAATAAGCATATTAATATAACAAACTGTTCAATAACAAGACGTTCTGGGAGAACCAAATGTGATAGCTAAATAAGCCAGATAAACATTCCCAATGTTTGTTTACCTATCACTTTTGGTCCCATGGGGCGATCTCTTATCAAAAGTTTATCTTATTAATATGCAATGACCACAAGCAGTTGAGTAAGATTTGGCCAAAGTTTACTATATTTTTCCATTTCGATTATTTCGTCGTTTTTTCCTTGATCTAGCTTATTACTGTAGACCTTTCTCAAAACCAAACACGATCATAGCCCAAGTAATATATTATTCAAAAGTGACTGCCATATCCGCGCAGGTAAATATAGATGGTTGTGAATACCTTTTTTATATGTTAACTTCCAGGCAGAGGAATTATTGGCGTTGCATTCGTTAGCGTTCAAAACATTTCAATTTTATTCAGTACAAAGCACGTGAACCCCCACAAAATTTTATAATGTAAAAGCAGAGCAAAAAATGTAACCAGTACATTGGAAATGTATACACGTAAAAAGTAAGTCTGATTAGCTCAACTAATCAGCAACCGATTATCGTAAACATTTTAAGAAGTGATAACTGGGAATTAGCATCGCTACGTCGACTGTGCGACCGTAACGGATCATAGATGCCACCGCCACAATAAGAACTGGACCCGGTGCGTGAGCATACATGTGCTACGTCTGCCCTAGGGCAAAGTCAGGACTACCGACGGTGGACGTAAGCGTAAGAATGCTAAATAGTCGGGGAAACTGGGATCGCTTAACGGAAGACATTTC